CGAAGTCCGGAGCTCCGGGAATTCCTATACATATTTTACGGCCGGTGACCGTTGTGATGAGGCATAGGAGCTAATAAGTGAGGTGAAGAACCACAAAAGCAACGGAGGAAATTTGCCACACTTGGCATGTCCTTCTGGAGGTAGAGAGAGCAAGCGAACGGTAGATCACCAAACGATACATCTTTGGCCAAAGCAGCCAGTGCTTCAGACAGGCAAGATGTGCTGTATCCAAGTGCCAGGCGTCCTAAAACATCACTTGGCCAGTGAATACTTCCTCAAATAATTTTTCAGGCGATAAGCCATTCAGTCATTATTTCAACGGCGATCCCACCAAGAACAAAATGTATGTTGCGTTTCTTAAATATAGCAGAGAGGTTATAATTTTCTATCTCTCCAGCATTTTCGAAAGATTTTTAGAATTCGGAATATCATGAAAAGTCGGTTGTTGTTCTGGAAAATAACTTATTAATAACTTGTGAAATCTGATTACAGGAATATCCAGATGCCAACATTTACCAAAAGAAGACGTCGTCGCCCTCCACCTAAGGGACAACAGAAGAAACGCACTCCGCCACCGCCTCCAGAGATGGTGAATACAGCCGCATTAGCTGCTCTAATGAAAGGTTAGTTATTTAGTGCAGCATGCTGCATTTATTATTAAAAAATCGTAGTTTCTCAATACTTTTTAAAAACAGTGGTGATACAAGAAATTTTTTGAAGCTGTGACATCCAGATAAACACAAGATGCCTTAAACAGTTACAAGGGCACACGCTTTTTTTTATCGTTGGTACATTAGCACTGTAAGCTTTCTATGCGCTTTGTGCTGCAGCAGTTGCACAAAACGCATATTGTCGAGAATCTGTCTGTGTGTATGTGTTTGTGTGTGTGTTCCAAGTGCATTTAATCCAGGCGTTTAAACTCAGGAACCACGAGAGCTAGGAAGCTAAAGTTTTAGTGGAATGTTCCTCGCCCACATGCGACTCACCATATTTAAATTCAGCTTTCATATACCCCCGGGTACCATGCACGGCCCCACGGAAGTTTTGGCGGGGAAAATTATTTTCTCGGGAACCACGGAAGCTGAAATGTTAAGGTAATGTCTCCTGCGCACATACAACCCCGCAAATTCGAATTCCACTTTCACTTAGGCCTGGGTTCCATGTACGGCTCCACAAAAGTTTTGGCGGGAAAAATTGTTATCCCAGGAGTGAGAACACCTGGGAGGTTGAAGAATTCAGGAGGATGTTTTTTGTTTATACGAAGGCCTAACGAAATCAGATTTGGCTCTGAGGTCTTACATACGACTGTGTGAAAGTTTTGGCGCGAGAGTTACTCGGGAGCTAGAGAACTAGGAGACTGAAATTTTGGAACAATGTTCACCATCCAAGGTCTCAAATTCAGGCTGAAACGTTTGCGTTTCATGCACTGGTACGTGAAATTTTTAATGGGAAATTTCGCAGCTTGGGGACCAAACAGCATATCGACTTTTTTTTCACAGACCAAAGTGTAAAACGCTGAAAATTTTTAAAAGGCAAACGTCCGCTGCTTGAAACTGCGCAAAAAAGCATGGTCGCATCGGCTGCTGTTGTACGCGCTGATATTTTATTTGTTATTAGTTCGGACAGTTTTTATACCGCATGAACATGCACGTATGTCGTTGGTACATTAGCATTAGACATTAGTTTCGACAGTTTTCTCTCATTTTCCTGCTGTTTTTCCGCCGTTGTTGAAGTTGTAATTTTTTCTAGCAAATGACGCATTTTTCAAAACGCCGGATGGACGCCCGGACAAAACAATCCAGCATTTCCGAGCAAAGAAGCCGCTACCAAAAGGCTGGTTTGGAAAAAATTTTGCAGTCATTTTCTAATTGCAGTAACTTAAGTTCGAGATTTATCTGTTTTAATTGCATTCTAGCACTTGTGAGTTGTATCAGGACAAGAAGTTTATCTCGTTGTCAGCTAGGAGTATTACTGGCATGTAGGCCTACACGTAGCTGCTAATAGATCTCTTTTTCAGATTTCCAGCCCTTCGATATTGAAACTTACTTGGCGGAACGTTTTCTGAAGGCTGTAAACTTGGAACCAAAAATTGTTGATGGTTTATGGGAAGGAGTGTCGGCCCGAAACGAACAGGAAGCTGACCTTTGAGAACTGAAAAATTTATTATAATTTCCATAAACTTGTTGGCATTGATTCCGTGTTGTGATTTCCGATGAACAGTTAGTTGTTTTTATTTTAATTTCAGTTGCTGAATGTCACCTTGGTGGTCATAAGTTAGGTGTGCGCGAGATATGAATAATTCTTATGCCTCATGAGAATCCTCATGTTGCTCACCTCTGACTTCTGGGTTTTTGTTGCGCTTTTCATCGCCACTGTATCTTTCTAATTGTTTTTATAAACTGATCTCGCGTTTTTATACATTTGCTGCTCGTAATTTTGTACCCGCATTATACCGAATGGGGTTGACACACTTGTGTTTTTTCTCCTCCCTTTTTGAATTGCAACTTATGTTACCGAAAAGTTGTAAAAAAACCTGGCTTTTTCCAAGGCAGATAATTTCAGTGAGCAAGAACCGGTACAGTTCTAATACGAGTCGTTTGGAACCAGGGTTTTCAGCCTCTTGCTGACAATCTATTCGGGTTGAAACCGAGCTGAGATCCATTTTTTTGAATTGTATTCATTAGTGCTATCATATCACCGTATGACGCATTTGTTTCATTAGTCATGCATTCGGTGCGTTCGTTTACTTCGAGTGCCTGTGCTGAAGTGCAGAACTTATTAGTCGTTGTGATAAAATTTTTAAATATCTCTAAACTGAATGCGAGTCATCGCTTCAGAACAGCCGATTTTTTATCATTGGCACGGCCTTTGCTTCATTACTGTAGCTGCTGTAATCAGAGCTGCGTCATCTGTTATCTACCCTGCTGGTAATTCTGCTGTTTGTACACAGCTTTTTTCCTGTTACTCGAAGAAAAAGTATGGGATGAATGATATGCCTTCCACATTTTGTGTTGTCTGTTGGCTTACTTGTCAGAAGCGCTGCATTTCTTAAGAGTAGTCATAAGGGCAGTTGTGCCACGAGCGAATTATATTGGAGTTTTCATGGACAATGAACTCCGGTACAAGAGTACATAGGGCTGGCTGGAAAAGAAATCTCTCAGCTGTGAGAATTCAGCTTGGCGCTGGAGACAGCGAAAAACTTTCTGTGACTGGGATGCTGCCTTGACAAACAGCACTGATTGGCTGGTCAATAAAGTTGCGATTTGGTTTTGCAAATGAACTCGAAAGCGTTATCGGCATGTAGTGAAGACGAGTCGTGCTAAGGGTCGTACTTTTTCGTTGCCGATTTCTGTTCCTCGAGAACCACGTTGGTGGCACATTACCATTTCTTGGACCGAAGCACCGTTTAAAAGCTTGTTGGATGATAAGTTGCATGAAATTGACTTCGTGCCTGTGAGCGTGCTCAGGAATTGCGGAAAATAATGTGCTGCAGCATTCGTGAATCGCACTAAAAAATGAAATGACAAATTGTCTTCTGGGTTCTCTTCTCTTTCGGTCTGTGGGGGGTTTTTTTCACATACACAATCTGGAATTTCTTGCAACGTTTTATCCACTCGTCCCCATCCAAGTTGGTTTTGTTGCACTTTTAGTCCTTTTCCGGTGTATGCAGCGGTATGTGGCTTTCAATTCTTGCTATTTCCGCGGTGAGTTTCCGGCTTCCCATACGGTTCATTGTTTCCACCTACAATAATGCGCAAGTTTCAACCTGACTGCATAGTTCTTAAAACAATCAAAAAGCAGAAGTGTTATAAAGTGGGTGTACCTCGTGTATTCCATCGTTGATTGCATCAAGCAACTGGTCCCTCTCCTTTTCCAAGTGGCGGAATTCGTGCAAAATCAGCTCCTTCACTTCGTTCGCTTTCTTCAATTTGTTTCTGAGTTCACTGATAATGTTCACACTTTTCTGAAATGGCTGTGAGTAGCGAATATGCGAAGCATCTAAGATCCCACCGTTTTCCGCGGTAAAGGTACTTGGAAGGGTTAAAACCAGCAAGACAGGAATTTTGGCTTGGCAATCACCACTGATTAGTGGGAACAACTGAAGAGTTTCTTATCAGATAGCTGCAACGTGGCCAGGTTGTTTTTTCCGATGGCAGCATTTCCGCCCGAACACCAGACGGAGGAATATCAAAGTAAAAATTTTTATGGGAGATAAGTGTTTACGTGTGTGAATCGCTGTGTGGCGTGGTGCTCTGAGCATACGCGCACTATAGAGAAGCAAAATCAAGTTTATGATTTACTGATAATAAATCATGCAAACAGCAAATAAACAGCACGAAGTGTGGCGCTTATAATCTATTGAGTCTGTGAGCTTGCCGAGCAAGAGTCGTTATGGCAGAGCATGGTTGATGAGGGCCAGGAGTATGTCAGACGGGGTCGAGTCCTCAAAGAGTCCGTTGAGGAGACTGAGAGGCGTTGTCCCGGAGGAGTGAACTGAGACCATGAAGAATGGTGGGGAGGTTTATAAAGGGTGAAGGAACCGCCCCAAAAGAGGATGTGATAGTTTTTTGAAGGGATTGAAAATGTGAAAATGATAATTAAGGTAAACTGGAATGTAAAAAGGGAAAATGGGAATAAGGGTTTTTAAGGGGGTTAAAAAGAGGGAATGAAAGGAAAAATAAGGAAGTAAAACGGTTGGGAATGCAAGCGCATTCTAAAATAGGAGCAAAATGGGATAAAGGGGACGAATGTATAATAAGGTTTTTACGGATGTAAAAAAAAGGAAAGAGGAAAATGTAGAAAACTGTAAACACGCAGGAATGCAAATTGCCTTCTGAATCATAGGGTAAAAGGGGGAAAAGAAAAAAAATATATAATTTTATAATAAGAAGAGCATATTTTATATAACGGAGAGAAGAATCGAGAGCCATTTTCCGCAGCTGAATGAAAACGATTGCCGGGGAGCAATTGACATACCCGTAATTGCTCATCGGTAGCCCGCTTTTCAGCCAGAGACTCTTTCAGAATTTTGTTTTCGTCAGCAAGTACGCGATTTTCTGCTTGAATTCGGACACTGTCCACTTTCAGTTTCCGTGTTGCCCTTTCGGAGTCATCCAGTCGCTCGTTCAAGATCTTCCTTTCATGCTGAAATTGATGGGGCGTAAAGGGTATCACAGAACTGTTATTGCTCATCTTCATGGGGTTAGTCACCGCTTGTCCC